CTAGGAGGCAAGGATTTGGAAATCAGCGACACTGACAACATTGACTGGGTCCTGAGTAATCACCAACGGCTACAACAGCTGTGTCTTTGAGGCATCTAGCCCAAGAAAAGCCCCCCATTATCACAATGAGGCACAGTATCAGTCCACCTCTGACACCTATGATGTAGTATGTTTGCCCCATACCAGTCCTTGTGCCCCACAGGTTAGTCACACAATCAACCACAACACATCACACAGTGACACTCCCGGCACAGATGGGGAAGGGCAGCCAGCTGAGCAGTCGGGGGTAGGCGGAAACCAGGTTATTTTAGGAGATGAGTCAGAGGGAGGGGCACCATCTGAGGACGCAAACGAATCTAGTACAGATAGCGAGGATATACCCAGGCGACATCAGAGAAGTACCAGGGGTCAACTACATAGTCTCTGAACCTGTTTGGTAATGAAATAGTCATGTTATCATTTTGGTTAACATTATCAATGTCTATTACACCCTGATGTATGTTAGGTACGATGTGTGTTATTCATCGTTGGTTGTGAATGTTTCGCCTTAATGGTTAATGTTATCGTTTAAACATGGAAATGTTAATGTGTTTCAGTCTTGTGGAGAAGTCTGTGTGGTGGCAGGGTTTGGAAGGGGGGAATGTGGTGAGCCACATGAGACTGACGGGGGTCCAAAGGGTTAACCCTCCCCAGGTAGTGAGTGAGTACCTTTTGACCAAACAATGACTGCTGCGGTGTGTTGAATTTCCCTATTATTGAGTGGATGTCTCTTAAGCCAATCCGTGGCAGCCGGAAGTGGAAAAACTAGGGAGGAGTATGGGAGGAGGCGGGTAAGGTGGCGGAGACTAGGAAGAGAAAAACGTGGCGGCCGACGGAGGAGTCCAGCAGAAGTTCGACTGGGAAGTTAATGTTTTGTTTGAACGAGTTCTACAAGTGTGTTGCAGCTGCCAGCCGGAGCCTTGTGAGTTCCTGCGGACTGTCGAGTTGCGAGGATCGGCCGACGATGTGACTGTACAGCGATGCCGTGAGGGCGGTATTGTCTGTGCAGCCAGCTTGGATGTTATTCTTCCTCTCCTCTCCCGCCTCCCTCCCGTAAGTATCCCCTGCCGCTAGACTTCCTCCACATACAAGGCTTCAGGAGAAACAGTCTTAATTTGTGGAACAGATACAGTTTATTGTTTAAAGGAGCCGAAATTTGCGGACTTTTTTTTTGTTAAGTTAGATTGTACAACCCTTCTGTGAAGCACTGTTTTGTTTATTGCTGTGAAAAGAGGTTGAAGTAATTGCTTATTCAACATGTTTCCATCTATTAGGTAAAATCAGGGGTGTAATGCTACCTCCACCCTTTGTTCAGTAACACAGGTAACTGCCCCGTCACCGGTCCCCAGCTCCTCTTCAGTCCTGCCTCCAGGCCGCCACAGTCCACCATCAGCTCCTTGGTCTTGCTAATGTTTAACTGCAGTTGGTTCAAAGTCATCCAGCAGTCCTCTGTTTTCCTGCTCCTGCTGTCTGCTGATACAGTCCAAAAAGTCTGCAGGTGGCGTGTACTCTTTGTACAAGATGAAACTGTTCACTGCAATGCGGAGAAGATGGAAGAAGAAAGTTTTGTACCATTTGTGTTTCTTCTGGCAGTGCAGTTCTGAAGATGTTGGTCAATGCAGGAGTTAAATCTGCTCTTAATCTCTTAATCTCCTAGACTTTTAAATGTCTACACATTGATATTTTCAATCTAATTGATCATTATAAATCTCCTATTTTCTGAGACACAGTGGTGTTTCCAGTGGTGGAAAGTAATTAAGGTCTACAACTCTCTGAGGAGCTTATTCTAATAAACACACTTAATACACTATTTGAATTTAACTTAAGAGTTCTTAGAAAATGTAAAGTGTTACTTTCATTCTATTTCTAAAACCTCAAACAACAGAGAAGCCTACTTGTGGACCAGTGACAAAAGTTTTCCATCTCAGTGTTTCTTTACTTTTTCTTGTAATGTGATCAGTAAAAAATCTGTCACATAAAGAAAAGATGGTAAAGCAGCAAAAAAAATTAAATTATAGGCTAAACAGTGAGTTTATCACTGGAGTGGTTGTGGGAATGTAAGGTAGCGTTGTAGCCTGTTGATCAAAAGATACAGTATCTTCTTCAATATTTTGCACTGACCTCTTTTGTTATGTTGTCTCTTTGTAATTCTGTGTTCTTTTGGCTGCTGTATACTTCCACTGTAGAAAAAAAAGAAACAAAGTATAAACTCATCTTGTTCCAAAGCTGTGTCAAAGTGGGGTGGCGATGGCGATGGCGCAATGCATACGACTATGCCTTTGGTGTGAGAGACCCAGGTTCAATCCCCCACTTTGAGCAAGACACTTAACCCCTAGTTGCTCCAGAGGCGTGCGACCTCTGACATACAAGTGCTGGTCATATAATTAGAATATCATCAAAAAGTGATACTTGGATATATTTTGATATATTTTAAATGTTTATTTCATTTAATTGTGATGATTAAAACTGACAACTAATGAAAATCCCAAATTCAGTATCTATGAAAATTAGAATATTACTTGATACCAATACAAAAAAAAGGATTTTTAGAAATGTTGGCCAACTGAAAAGTATGAACATGAAAAGTATGAGCATGTACAGCACTCAATACTTAGTTGGGGCTCCTTTTGCCTGAATTACTGCAGCAATGCGGCGTGGCATGGAGTCCATCAGTCTGTGGCACTGCTCAGGTGTTATGAGAGCCCAGGTTGCTCTGATAGTGGCCTTCAGCTCTTCTGCATTGTTGGGTCTGGCGTATTGCATCTTCCTCTTCACAATACCCCATAGATTTTCTATAGGGTTAAGGTCAGGCGAGATTGCTGACCAATTAAGAACAGGGATATCATGGTCCTTAAACCAGGTACTGGTAGCTTTGGCACTGTGTGCAGGTGCCAAGTCCTGTTGGAAAATGAAATCCGCATCTCCATAAAGTTGGTCAGCAGCAGGAAGCATGAAGTGCTCTAAAACTTCCTGGTAAACGGCTGCGTTGACCTTCGACCTCAGAAAACACAGTGGACCAACACCAGCAGATGACATGGCACCCAAACCATCACTGACTGTGGAAACTTTACACTGGACTTCAAGCAACATGGATTCTGTGCCTCTCCTCTCTTCCTCCAGACTCTGGGACCTTGATTTCCAAAGGAAATGCAAAATTTACTTTCATCAGAGAACATAACTTTGGACCACTCAGCAGCAGTCCAGTCCTTTTTGTCTTTAGCCCAGGCGAGACGCTTCTGACGCTGTGTCGTGCTCAAGACTGGCTTGACACAAGGAATGCGACAGCTGAAACCCATGTCTTGCATACGTCTGTGCGTGGTGGTTCTTGAAGCACTGACTCCAGCTGCAGTCCACTCTTTGTGAATCTCCCCCACATTTTTGAATGGCTTTTGTTTCACAATCCTCTCCAGGGTGCGGTTATCCCTATTGCTTGTACACTTTTTTCTACCACATCTTTTCCTTCCCTTCGCCTCTCTATTAATGTGCTTGGACACAGCGCTCTGTGAACAGCCAGCCTCTTTAGCAATGACCTTTTGTGTCTTGCCCTCCTTGTGCAAGGTGTCAATGGTCGTCTTCTGGACAGCTGTCAAGTCAGCAGTCTTCCCCATGATTGTGTAGCCTACTGAACTAGACTGAGACCATTTAAAGGCCTTTGCAGGTGTTTTGAGTTAATTAGCTGATTAGAGTGTGGCACCAGGTGTCTTCAATATTGAACCTTTTCACAATATTCTAATTTTCTGAGATACTGATTTCTGAAATATATCAGTCTGTGTGGAATGAATGTATACATACAAGTTTCACTTTTGAATGGAATTACTGAAATAAATCAACTTTTTGATGATATTCTAATTATATGACCAGCACCTGTATATAGCAATTGTAAGTCGCTTTGGATAAAAGCGTCAGCTAAATGAATAAATGTAAATGTAATAAATGGAAAGTATATTCCAAGGAGGAAATAAAACCTGACTTCCAGAGCTGCACTGAGAGGTGACGGAGGAGAGCTGCAACGTCACATTTCCTGTGTGAAATGAAAGTGCAAGTTTGTCTGTAAGTGACAGAGCTGCGGTCGAACAAAACAGCGGAATCTCTATCAAACACTGGTGAGTACACGGCCCTACAACTCAGTGTTTGATCAAAGTTTAGTTCAAACCAGAATCTGACTTGACTGTATTGAACTGATAGGGGACACACCTTTGTTCTGCATTTTGGAGAATACATTCAGTCCAGGTCTATAGGAGAGAAATATTACAGGCTAGTAAGACGGGGGTGGGGGGGGGACCTTCCTGTTCTGTTGTCCCTCAGCCTCCCTCTCATCGCTGACTTCCTTTCATTCCCTCGACCTTCAGTGTTGTTTTCTCAGGTTCGTCGAGTAGGCACAGGGCAAGGGATGGTTTTCACTCAAAATAAATATTTTATTAATTAATTATAAAACAATGAACAATCCAGTCACATACCGGGTAGATACCAAATACAATTAGCACACTGGCAGGGAAAGGGCAAAGGGAGCAGGGCTGTGGCTTACCACGTGGTAGGGAGCACCCAAAACAAAGGAGGAGAATCCGTTACCTAATGGCCCGTGATCAAGAAGGGCCCCTCCACGCAGCAATCCGTTCCCCACAGTGCCGGCAGACAGCCGATCTTAACGGAGGGTTGGGCGCCACAACAGCCACAAACAAAAGGTACAGCCACGCCACTCAGGGCTCTGCCACGCCGGGCTGCAACCACCATGGGAGATGGAGCGGAAGAAAGAGAGAGGCGTGGCCTTTAATATATAGGAGCGCACGGCACTGCCCGATCAGCAGGGTGCCAAAAGTGCTGGCACAGTGGCAAGCAGGAAAAACACCTCAATTTAGGATGCCTCTCCTGATATTCCACTAATCATTGTTTGATTTTATTAAACAAGTAAGTAAAATATATGTAGTAACAGTTTTCTCACTTGTTGTCCTCAGAGTATGGATATGTCTGCTGCCAGCTTTCTGACTGAAGATCAGTTTCTGTGCTCCATCTGTCTGGATGTGTTCACTGATCCAGTCAGCACACCATGTGGACACAACTTCTGTAAAACCTGCATCACTGAACACTGGAATATTAGTGTCCTGTGTCAGTGTCCCAACTGTGAAGAGGTTTTCAACACAAAACCTGAGCTGCAGGTCAACACTTTCATCTCTGAGATGGCTGCTCAGTTCAGACAGTCAGCTCAACAGAAAGCCAGCAGCAGCAGCTCAGAGCAACAAGCTGCCAAACCAGGAGAAGTTCCCTGTGATGTCTGCACTGGAACCAAAGTGAAGGCCCTGAAGTCCTGCCTGGTTTGTCTGGTCTCCTACTGTGAGACTCACCTGGAGCCTCATCTGACAATGGCAGGCCTGAAAAGACATCAGCTGATCGACCCTGTGGAGAACCTGGAAGGCAGGATGTGTACGAAGCACGATAAACTGCTGGAGCTGTTCTGTAAGACCGACCAGATGTGTGTCTGCATGCTCTGCTCTGTTTCAGACCACAAGACACATGATGTTGTTCCTCTGAATATGAAGAAGAAGGCGAGCTTGAAATCAGCAGACGATGAAGAGACGACTGAAGATTGAGGAGATCAAACGCTCAGTGGAGCTCAGTAAGGAAGATGCAGACAGAGAGATAGCAGGTGGTGTTCAGGTCTTCAGCGCTCTGAAGGAGTCTGTTGAGAGAAGCCAGGCCGAGCTCATCGACACGATCAAAGAGAAGCAGAGAGAGACAGAGAAACAGGCTGAAGGCTTCATCAAAGAGCTGGAACAGGAAATCTCTGAGCTGAAGAAGAGAAGCTCTGAGGTGGAGCAGCTCTCACGCTCTGAAGACCACCTCCACCTCCTCCAAAGCCTCCCGTCCCTGAACGCTGCTCCACCCACCAAGGACTGGACAGAAGTCAGCGTCCGTCCACCTTCATATGAGGGGACTGTGAGGAGAGCTGTGAATCAGCTGGAGGAGACGCTCAGTGAACAGATGAAGAAGCTGTTTGACGCCCAGCCCAAGAGGGTCCAGCAGTATGCAGTGGATGTGACCCTCGATCCTGATACAGCACATCCTGCTCTCATCCTGACTGATGATGGAAAACAAGTTAAACATGCTGATGTAAAGAAGAATCTCCCAGACAATCCAGAAAGATTTGATTATTTTGTTATTGTCTTAGCAAAGCAGAGTTTCTCTTCAGGGAGATTTTACTACGAGGTTCAGGTTAAAGGGAAGACTGAGTGGGATTTAGGAGTGGCCAGAGAGTCGATCAACAGGAAGGGAAACATCACAGCAAGTCCTCAGAAAGGTTACCGGACGATATGTTTGAGGAATGAAAATGAGTACTTTGCTTGTACTGACCCTCCAGTCCGTCTCTCTCTGAAGTCTCAGCCTGAGAATTATTTTGGTTTAATTCAACAGTATCTTTTTTTTTTTTTAATATGTAGGCTACTCCATTACAGACAGTAGGGGGCAGCAGTGCGTCAAGAACAACAGCAGCAAGTTTCCTGTGTTATTAATTTCTCCTGTTTTACAGGTCAGTAAACTGCACGAAAGCACAAAACCGAGAAATAAGCATAGTGAATCTTGTGTTTAAGTTTTTTTGTGTTCACTGTGTAGTTTGATTATAAGTTACTGACCCTCTGCTGCGTGGACGCGTTACTGTCATTCTAACGGTAAAACATAAACATTTAAACGTTAGCTAGCACTCTCGTGGCCTGTACTGTGAAGCGGGGTAACCGGCTTATCCAGTTAACTTCAGGTGTAACTTCCGGGTTAACCCGCACTACGAAAGGTGGACAGGTGTTACCCGGGGTCTGTTGCCATGGCAATTTACGCCGCATCTCTAAACTGCTCCGAGCGGGTTTTGTTGGTGGTGAACTCGAGGTTCCCCTGCACGTGGACTCCACACCTCATCTGTACTCGGTGTTACTGATGAGAAGTAGGATATTAATACATAAAATCTGTTTAGATTTTATCCTGATTTGTTCCCCTGAGAAACAACAGCATCACGTTCAGACAGCGAGCTGGGATTTAGAGAGGAATCCTAATTAACGGGACAGTTTCTTAGATGGAGCCCGTCTGCAGGCTGTAATTGAATTCTCCCAAGTGGTTTCACATATTTAGATGAGGAAAAACATCCTAGATTAAAGTGTGAAATTTACAAGAAGGAAAATCTGAAATTCCCTGAAATGAATGTCATAAAAAAATCGAAAATCACTCTGGTGTTTTCTTTTGAATACGGCCGATCCAAGGCAAAGTCTCTGAGGTGCGTGATGGTGATGGGGGGCTAAACTCAGGAGCATTTCCTCACGTTTAATATAACTTTCCAGTGCTAAACGGCAGACGTGTGTGTGATGTTGCAGCTTTGCAAAGTGAAGTTTCTCTCATAAATGTGTGACTATAATGTCAGAGAATATTCAAGTTTTTACTTGTAGATTAATCTGGGAAATTAAATTCTGTCTCAGATTATTCCCCCTCTGAAGATAATCAGGCTACAGATTCACTCCATGCGATGCCAACAAGCCTCCTTGGCTCTGTCGGCCGCCGCGATATTAGATTTAGCCGTTAACTTGTCTTTACATTCGTATTTCCTGACCCTACCAACGGGCGTTCCTCTTATTTGTATTTTGTTTATAAAAATATGTTTTGTGTTGGTTAAAGGTCATCCATATCAATTAAGTGTGAAAAATGTCACTATCTTGCCTGGTACGTTGGTGAACTGAGGACGGCAACGTCTCTGTCAGTTATTACAGATCTGCTGTGATAAACGGTTTATTTATCCTGTTAATATAAAAAAAGGTTTATTTTCCCTTCTAATGAGTTGAACGAGGTATGATGAGCAGGTGAGTTATTTGTCATATTTGTGTATGAATCTGTGTTTTTTTGATATAGCCCACACGTTAGTAATTTAGTAACTTAGTTGAAAATTAGTGATGTGCAAAAAAATACTTTATTGATTGACAGTATTTACCCTCATTTATACCTAAGGACATTCTTGGCTTTTGCAATTTTGATTTTATTGCCATTTTGAGTGTGTTTATGCAATGGGCATGATTTTTGGTGAATCTTTTTTTCTAAATTTTTTTAAAAGTTTTGAAATTTTTTTATAGTGTGGAAAATACACGCTGTAAACGCCATTACTACAACTACACCCCTGAGGACAAAAATGTCCTCATTGAAACTCATTATAACATTAAAAATATTTAGCTTAAGTTACCACACAAAAATATTTTTTACAGTGTATCACCCCTTCTGTCTGTTAAAAAAAGGATGGTATATGGGGATTTCACTCCTTCCCAGCAGATGGCACTGCTTACCTTTTTGAGGCATGTGGTTGAATCAGAGTGATGGGAGAACCAGAGACCGGCTGTTCCCGGAAATGCTGGCCGCCTACAAGCGCTCCTCCGCCGGGTCGACATGGCGGGCGGCTTGTCGAGTCCACTGCTAAGCTTAGGCGGTTCTCTGTGGCTCCGTGTGGAACGTGGACGTACCGACCTGTAACGTCTGCAGAGCTGCCCGCCTAGACGAACGCGTGCGCGGCGTTCTAATGGGCTGGAGACCCGGGTGCACGGCGGAGCTCCGGCTGAAAAAAATATCCTGCTTCGTGTTTATTTTTCCTCCAGTCTGTCTGTCCATCGCTGACTCTTCCAACAATGTAGACTCCGACCAGACAAATGGCAAATAGTGTCAACTCTCACCAAACAGCAGCGGAACCAGAAAACCTCGCGGACAAGTATCAGCTCCTCTGCCGCGGTTATAGGACTGTAGCCCCGGGTGCACGGCGGAGCTCCGGCTGAAATGATATCTTGCTTCTGGCATATTTCTCCTGCAGTCTATCTCTCCCTCGCATATTCTTCATACAATATTACCTGCCTGGAGGGAAGGGTAACGTTAACCCTGCTCTTTAGCGGTAGCAACCGCGGACAGCTAACGTTAGGCTGAAGGCAACCTCTCTCGCCATAAACGTTACGGTTCACTCACGGCGGGTTGCGAGCATCTGTTCGGCCCAGCGTTCGGCTGGATGATCCACTGTGATTCTGCAGTACGATCCACGCTGACGAAGGAGCTACGAGATCGATCAATTTACACTAGTTATGATAAAAAAGATCGCTCCGAAGACACTGTGTTCACTTCAATACGCCTTGAAACGGTGGACTTTGGGTAATGTAGGCCTCAGTCCTATATCACCCATGTTATTTCAATAGAAGGGCACTACATTACCCACAAGCCCCATGGATGTTTAACCGGTGTAGTCCTCTGTCCTATATCACCCTGGTTATTTCAATAGAAGGGCACTACATTACCCAGAGACCCCTGCTCCACCGTTTCAAGGCGTATGGAAGTAAACACAGTGTCTTCGGAGCGATCTTTTTTATCATAACTAGTGTAAATTGATCGATCTCGTAGCTCCTTCGTCAGCGTGGATCGTACTGCAGAATCACAGTGGATCATCCAGCCGAACGCTGGGCCGAACAGATGCTCGCAACCCGCCGTGAGTGAACCGTAACGTTTATGGCGAGAGAGGTTGCCTTCAGCCTAACGTTAGCTGTCCGCGGTTGCTACCGCTAAAGAGCAGGGTTAACGTTACCCTTCCCTCCAGGCAGGTAATATTGTATGAAGAATATGCGAGGGAGAGATAGACTGCAGGAGAAATATGCCAGAAGCAAGATATCATTTCAGCCGGAGCTCCGCCGTGCACCCGGGGCTACAGTCCTATAACCGCGGCAGAGGAGCTGATACTTGTCCGCGAGGTTTTCTGGTTCCGCTGCTGTTTGGTGAGAGTTGACACTATTTGCCATTTGTCTGGTCGGAGTCTACATTGTTGGAAGAGTCAGCGATGGACAGACAGACTGGAGGAAAAATAAACACGAAGCAGGATATTTTTTTCAGCCGGAGCTCCGCCGTGCACCCGGGGCTCCAGCCCATTAGAACGCCGCGCACGCGTTCGTCTAGGCGGGCAGCTCTGCAGACGTTACAGGCCGGTACGTCCACGTTCCACACGGAGCCACAGAGAACCGCCTAAGCTTAGCAGTGGACTCGACAAGCCGCCCGCCATGTCGACCCGGCGGAGGAGCGCTTGTAGGCGGCCAGCATTTCCGGGAACAGCCGGTCTCTGGTTCTCCCATCACTCTGATTCAACCACATGCCACACAAAGGTAAGCAGTGCCATCTGCTGGGCGAAACTGATAATCCTAACTTACATCTTTATTTAACAGACAGAAGGGGTGAAACACTTTCAAAAATGATTTTGTGTGGTAATTTAAGCTAAATATTTGAAATATTTTATAATGGATTTAAATGAGGACAAATTTGTCTTGGGTTGGCTTCGTAACAGCTATTAAAGGGATACATGAGGGTTAAATAAATTCCGGCAAGACCCAACGCAGCAAGTTTCCTGTGTTGATTAATTTCTCCTGTTTTACAGGTTTTATTATCTGTCCACTTGCCCTGTAACATGTATTATTCCCTTTTTCTTTGATGTGTCACGTTGCTACTTACAGCACACCAAATCTAATGTCGTCTAATTTACTCTAACTGTATTACAATAACGGTCCTCAGAAATAAGAAGCATTTGCACGTTCCTTAAATGTCTGGGGGCCAAATCCAAAACCTTTTATTGTCTGATCATTGTTTCTATAAGAAGTGTTGCATACAGGTTACTGAAGAGCAGATTATAAATGAGACAAAACTATTTTGCTTTTTGTAACTTGATTAATCATTTCAGCTGCACTTTATTTAAACCGGTGGGAGTCAGTTTATTTCAGAAGCTCTTGGTTGATGTATTTATAGAAAATGGGGCGGGGTTTTTGCTTTTTGTGGATGATGGGGCAATTTGGAAGAGGGGAAGACATTTAGACTTCATTGTGTGTGATCAGATAAATATACATGGGCCTATATATGTTATTTTATTTTAAAATAATATCTAAGTTGATAAGACAGAGACAGTGTTCCTCACAAGGAAATTCATTGGTAGTGAGGTAAAAACTAAAATTATGAAACACTACATTCAGAAAGTAGTGGATAAATGTAAAATACTACATACAGTGAGGTGTTTAGGTGGAAGTGAAGACCATATACAGTGGACTAATGAGACCAATATTAGATCTGTGGATCTGCAGCAAGCACATCTCTCTTAAAGTTCGAGAACATTCAAAATCAGGCTTTGATATTATGCACAGGTGCATTTAGAACAACTCGTTGTTGGGAAAAGGAGAGGGGGGAGACAAAAAAACAACAGAACTTACAAACAGTACCATTACCAGCAAAAACACTTTGGATACTCCCTGACACCACAAAATTATTAGAAAGAAGAACAAGGACAGGGAGTTTATTTGAATTCACATACCATACCATACATATATTGAAAGTTACACAGTTAAGTCCAGATCTACACAGAAGCATCAAAGAGATTGTAGTTAATAAAATACGAGTAGCACGTATTGTTGCAGAGTTTCATCTCATAATAGGGAAAATGATCTGTGAGGAAGTGTACATGCAATTTTGTTAGCAGTGCAGCGGTCCTAAGACTTTTTCACATGAAGATTTTGTCCTAGGGATTTTTGCATTTAGACGCAGAATGTAAACCATGCAAAATGGTCATACATTCGGTTACTGATGGATGGAAACCTTTTATTAACGGTTAGTGTCATAGAAGGCTGATTTCTGTGGCAAAGTTACATCATTCAAAAGGTTATCATGTTAAAATATTATGTAGATATATAGACTTTAAACCAGAATGTGCCACCTTATCAAGAGGAATCACCTTCTTCAGTCAACAAGGAAGGCAAACAATCCTGACGTTTCACTGTCAGCTCTCAGACAAGCTACAGGCTCCTGTGACATTATTAGGGTTTTTAAAAGAAACCAGTTTAGATAAAAAAATTTAGAGAGCTAAATAGCTAAAATAAAAAACAACCAGGATGAACAATGTTATCAAGGCAATAATCAAAAAAGAAATGTTGAAGAAATGGCAGGACGGGTGGGACACGGAAAATAGATGGAATCATATCACGTCAGTGTGACTACAAGGCACAGACGACCAGGTCTGATCACAGAATCAGAAGGAGCTTTATTGCCACGTAGTATTTTACACGTACAAGGAATTTGGCTTTGGTGATAAGGTGCTACACGCAGACAGACATACAGTCGACATCAATAAATGCAGACATATAATATGGAATAAACAATAACAAAAGAACAGATAAATAATACACAACGTGCCAGATATTTATGTGCATTATTGCGGGTTTATGTTATGCATATATATAAATAAATATATAATAACAACAATTAACAAGAAATATGTGCAAAATGCCAGGTTTGTGCATGATATGAAATGAAACAGTATTTACACGTGCGGAGAGGGCAAATACAAACATTGTTTAAATTAAGTAAAAGTCAATCAGATGAATGTTTGGAATGTAAATCTAATAAATTAATAAGTTATATGTAGGAAATGTAGAGATTAGAGAATAAGGTTAGTAAGGTATTTAGAGATGGAGTAATGGACACAGAAAGCTCCTGTGCAGTATCTGAAGAAAACAAGTGTTTACATTATATTAGTATATTTAATATATTAAATTTATATTTGAATATTTCTGTTTATAGTGTGTATATTTGTGTTCTCTGTAGCCTGTGTCTGATTTTCTTATTGTGTGAGTCAGCACATCGTGAGAAACGTACAATCCAGTCCGCACGCCTGATTCTGATGGGAAATAACTCCTGTTACTTTGTCCTGAGCAGCAGGTGGCGGTTTGCATCCATGCAGGTCGAGGAGAAAAAGCGATCTGGTTTCCAGAGTGAAGCAAAGATGTTGGAGGAGCAGGAGTTTGTTTTCAGCTTAGTTCCGTTCATGTGTGCACGAGCTCAGTCCAGAGCATGTAAACACACCTGCGAGCTAAACGTCCTGCGCTGTGGACACGGCGAAGTCACGTGTCCGCTTGTCTTCAGGACTCGAGGGCGACCGCGTCAGAAAAGGGGCCGCAGTAAGTGACCGCACCGTGTGGCGTTTACTTCCGCAAGTTGCAGAAGCGATGTGGCGGATATCCGTTTGACGAAGTGCATGTCTGCTTACTTCCTGTTAGCTGTGCAGTGAGGTTGGCTTCAGCGCTGTTTCATCCTGTGTGTAGTTAGATTAGCTGCTGACTTGTGTGTGCTGTTACTGAGCGTAGCCAGTCTGAGATGAAGAAAAGCAGCTTCAAGCTGATGAGGAGGGACATCACCTCTACGGATTTCTGCTCAGTCCCTCTTTGCTCTTCATCGGCTAAGTTCTCCTCCATGAGCTTTCACGCGTTTCCGACCGATGCTGAGATAAGGGCGAAATGGGTGGTGAACATCAGAAGGGTGAACTTCACCATCACCAATCGGTCCAGGGTGTGCAGCAGGCATTTCCTAAAGGAAGACCTGATCGAAACGCCCAAAGGACTTCGTCGTCTGAGGAAGGGGGCGCTGCCGGTGTTGTTCGAGTGGAACGGATATAAAAGCCATCAGCATGCCAATCTTTTGGATAGAAGAGAAAGTCCAGCGGCTAACTGCACACGTCAGGCTGACGGGGACATGGGTGGCGAGGGCGGAGCAGAAGACTCACGGATTGAAGCCTTAACAAGGTGAGGACAACATGAACATAACCAGCTGATTATCAGAATACTCAAAATTTATGTATAGTAAAGTAAATACTATTAACAATGTGTACAAAGCTAACTGAAAAGTGAGGGTGAAACGTCACTCTGGAAGGGCCTCGGTGGGGAAGTTACGTAACTGTAGAGCTGACAGGAAATAAGCAGACTGTATAAAGGTCACACAGCCGGGAGCTGCAGTAACTGGAAACAGCAGGAGATCACTGAGTGCATGTACTCATGTACTGTTCATGATCTGAGGTAGGTGAGTGTTTCAGGTTTGTGCTACTTTATGCTGTATTTAGGAAGCCAATATTAAACTTTTTCTTAATTTGCAGATTCAGATGTATTAATGCAAAATGTATTTTGATGCATTATTATAGATTAAACTACGCAGCAGATAAAATGTATAAAGTAGTCACATTAAAGTGCTGCTTACATGATAATGCATCAGTAATCATTTTCAAATAAAATCATACGCATTATTCTGAAATTAGTACACGAGTACTTTTACTTTTGGCACGTTTAGATTTGTACTTTTACTCAAGTGAGATTTAGAGAAGTATTTCTACACTGTGGTAATACTACTTTTACTTAAGTAAAATATCTGAGTATGATTTTGGTAACAACTGACAGTGTTGGGCAAGTTATTTCCAAAATGTACTACACTATAGATGACTAGTTACTGCCATTTGAGAGTAATTAGTTATATTACAATATTACTGCTTTTAGTAGTACTGCTATTAGTGGACGCATTATTCAGATGGTAAGATGTGCTGCGTAGGAGGGTGTGCAGAGTTATATCCGTGGAAATTAACCTTCTGATTAACTGCTGGGCATTTACGCACGAGGTACTCATGCAATTGGTTTTCTGGTGCCGAAATGTTTCTCGGTGTTGGTGAATTCTAAAAAAACAGAACACCACTTAATTTTGGGTTAAAATGCGCTGAAACGCACGTTATTGAGATTTTAACTGTGATTTTTTTTATGTTATGTTACTGCGTTACGGCAAAAAGCAATACATTACTGTAACTGCGTTATAACTCGTTACTCCCAACACTAATAACTGATCAGGAGCATCTGCTACTGCACCTCTGAGTTACCAGGCCTGCAACTAACCATTATTTTCATTGCTGATTAATTATCAATGATCAATTATGTTATTGATTAATTGAGTAGTTGTTTGGTCTATAAAATGTCAGAAAAATGTGAAAAAGGGTGATCAGTGTTTCCCAAAGCCCAACACGACATCCTTAATGTCTTGTTTTGTCCACAACCACAAGATAGTCAGTTTACTGTCATGAAGGAGCAAAGAAACCTGGAAACATAATATTCACCTTTAAGAAGCGGGAACATTTTTAAGTGGCTCAAACCGATAAACTGATTATAGTTGGCTAATAATTTAATAGTTGAAAACGAGTCGATCATTTAATAAATCGTTGCAGCCCTGTGAGTTACAAGGCAAGATAATGATGGTATGTTTGGTGCCAGTTCTTTTAAATATGGATGGAGTATTGTTGAACAATTTATCAGTCTGTCTATAAAAGCTTTTCGTAGCTGGGGTGGGCAGCGTTGGAGAACCAGCAATAGACAGATAAATTTCAAAAGTCCAAATGAAAAACTCCCTTCAGGCCTCCTCTCCGAAGCCCCTCCCCCAAAACACACGTTAGTGCACAGCGGCAGGTAGGCGGGCGATCACTTCACTGGAGTTAAATGATTGGCCGTGCTAATGACAGCCGAGCTACTGATACAGGATCAGAGCATTTGATTAATTGATTGCTGTCAGGATGTAAAGAGAATTTAAATAAATATAGCAAAACAAGCTTCTGAAATGAATTATCTACCATCTTATCAACTTTGGTACTTACTTTTCTGTTTCCTTCTCGCACACAGTCGGAACAAGTCTCTAGAGGTGCTGGGCGAACACGACTATTCGAAGAAGCCCCTCTCTGCGGGAGAGGAGCTGCAGGCTGCACAGATGGAGCTCGATCGTCTGGAAGAAGAAAGCAGAGAACTGAAAAGTGAGCGGTTCTTTCTGTGGCGTCTCCAGCTTGAGCCGGACTTGATCAAGTTTTTCACTGGATTTAAAGACTACAACACACTCAAAGTGTTCTTCTTAGCTCTGCAGCCTACAGCACAGACTGCCTGGGAATGGATTCATGCGCTGAAGGTGAATAAAACTGAAGAAAACACGGGGGACGCCGGCTGCCGTGCTCAACACCTGTGTCTGTTTGATCAGCTGTTCCTGTTCCTTTGCTTTGTCCGGCGCGGGTTTCTTCCTGTTGAAATGTCCGTGCAGTTCCACGTGTCAGAGGCCACGGTCCAGTCGACCTGCTTAACATGGTGCCACTACCTGTTCTTTACTCTGGGAACACTACCAATATGGCTGAGCAGACAGGCTGTAGATGAGCTAATGCCGCCGTTCTTTAAAACGACCTTCCCCAAAACACGGGTGGTGCTGGACTTGACTGAGATCCACATCCAGACGGCCACGTGCTCAGGGAACTCCTCCCATCATAAAGGCTCCACAACACTCAAGTCTGTGGTTGGCATCGCTCCTTCCGGCTCAGTCAGCTTCGTCAGCAGCGTCTGCGCGGCCTCCGTGTCCGATAAGGACGTCATCAGGGAGTCGGGGGTTTTAAACCTCCTGGAGCCCGGCGACCAAGTGATGGCATACAGGAGCTTAGAGATCAAAGACCTCCTCGATGTGATCGGTGTAAACCTCGTCATCCCAACGTTCTTGGGGCCAAAGGGACAGAAACTCGAGGAAACGCCCTCACAACAGGTCGGCCACCTGAAAATCCACATTGAGAGGTCGATCGGCCGCATCAAAGAGTACCAGATCTTTGCTGACGTTGTTCCCTCTGCACTTTGTGCTTCGGTCAACCGGCTGTGGACGGTCTGTGCTCTGCTGACAAACTTTCAAGGACCTTTGCTTTAAGCAATAACTGTGGATATACAGTTTCCAGAACTGGTGAGAGACCCCCGGTTCAACAGAATTCAAGGTTCCTTATGAACCTGGTTTGAAATGTTTGTTTATGTTCAGCATTCAAGGTAAACAAATTCATATGTTGGTCATTTTTAGATCAAACTCAAAAATCTAATATTGGTCGGCCCTAATGCTGTGGTGACATTTGTAGAAATATTAATGTCTTTCATCCTGTCCAACCAAACAGTGAGTCCATCATTACAAATGCACGTATGGCTGCAGCTATGTTTTCAGTATTGATTCATCTACTGATTATTGTCTTTGTTAGCTGTGTGTAGTTCAAAACTAATCTCCTGTAGACTCCAACATTTGCACAGAGAACAAATATATCAGGCTGAATATTTCCATTTGATGGAATGTTGCAGCCAAAAAAAAGGTGTGATGTTAACATCTTTTTATACATGTCAACTGCTGTGTCCTTATTTTTACAACGGGACAACAAACCTGTTGCCAAGCAGTACTTCCATCTTTACAAATGCATTTATGGCTGCAATAATATTTAATTATTGGTTAATCTTCTGATTTTTGTTTTGTTTTGCTGCATATAGTTCAAAAACCACAGAGCTTTAAATTTACATTCTAGTGTACATCCTAGGGCTGGGCAATAAAACAATAATGATAATTATCGCAATATAATTTTCCTCAATAACAAAATAACAAATGTTCAATATATCGTCAGTAAATATTTGATTTAATTTATTAGAATCACGAAAGAATTAGCACTTAATTTTCCATTAAGAGGTTTATTTTGTTGAGGCAAAGAGATTTTTTGAATAAAGATTTTATCATAATAATTTTGAATGTTCTACCTCAGATTTGTTAAGTGATCCACTGCTTGGCAGAAAGTGTTTGGCACGTTCTGACCATAAAGAATAGTTTAACCACACAATTAACCATCTAGCACTTCAATTTTCATTCGAGGGCAAAAATCAGCTTGAAACTTGAACACTTGACATTTATTGTGAAAATGATCAATATCTCAGTGTGGACACTGAGTAACTTCAGAGCAGAATAATGACATGTTAAGGATAAAACTGATGTTTTTCTATAATATCCTTATTGTCAGCAGAGAAATAAGATGAATCAGGCTTTGGATCCACCAGTGTTATTCATTAAGGGGAAAACCAGGTTGTGATGTTAAGTAACATAGCAGAAGTTCAGGTTCTGCATTCTTGTGTAGATATGATGTCAAGTTTTTTTACTGATTACATGACGGTCAATGTAAATGCATAAACCATGTTTACTAAATAAAAAGTTGAGCCACAGTGATTTAATGCCTACTTTTTCATATAAAAACACACATAATATGCAAAAACTTGCATTAGTAGTAGTAGTAGTATAGTTACTAAAGTAGTGAAGAATTTCAGTCGACATAGAAGCACAAGGAATATAAAAGAACAGCTGCAGTATTATAGAATCCAAAAAAGGTTAAAGTCAAGGGCAACTGGACTTTAACCTTCTTTGGATAACTATGACCTGGATGACTGAGAATCTTCACAGACAGTATTATAGAAATACCAACACACTATTTACACTATACAATCAATAATACTGAAATTAAGTGAAATCAGTCTCTCAGCTTGGTGCTGTGGAGTCTGACGGCACAAATGAGCCTCCAAAGCACCTCTCAGTCACTTCCTCCACACATATTTTCAAATACATTTACAAATATAACGCCTGCCCCACCACCACAGTGATATCCTGCTATTTATTTTTTGCGCTCTCCAGCACTCTCACCTGGAGCACTTTTTATTTTGATATGTGTATAAGTATCCTGTAGCCTGGTGAAGTTTTGGAAAAAATGTAAAAGTGATGGTCAATGTTTATTATGAACATACAGTTAAATGTACCCCAGAAGAATAGCCAATGCTCATGCTGGTGCCAGGGGCCGGCCGAGGTGACATAGGCAGTTGCGTAGGGAGCAAAATGTCAGGGGGCGCCGCAAGAGAAAGTTTTCACCTCAGCGAATCAACTCAGCCCAGCTGATGCCACAGCGGCGTAAGCTGTGATAGTAAACAAGTGCAGCTAACACTGAGAGTCCAGACAGTTGTGACGACTGGTAACGTAACTAGTAGAGTTTTGCAATGTAAACATAAAACCATCCTGAAACACAGATAACAAGTTACAGCCAATCAATCAACAAACTGCTTCATTAACACAGAGAGGAGGAGCAACAGTGTAAGAGAAGATCACAGATGCAAAGAAAACTTTCAGCAGAGCTGCAGTCGAGACAAGTCTCTCTGTTCCTCTCGAAATAAACATTAAACTTTTCTCAACAAAACAGCAGAATCTCTGCCAAACCCTGGTGAGTACACGGCCCTACAAAGCCAAAATGCACTGACTATATATTATATAAGCTGTACTTGTTTGGCAGAAACTCTGCTGTGTTGTTAAAACAGCTGCAGTCATAGTTTTTATTTGAGGAATATGACATTTAAACTGTTGTGCTTTTCCAGTGCTGCTCCTGAATGGGGTAAAGCACTGAAGGCTTGTAAGGGCACGTTGGGGTTACTGGATACTTTTTACAGAGTTTAATTTATATTTTTCCTGTATTGGAGGCTGCAGCATGCTGTGTCCCAGCTAGAAATGTTACATAGAACATTCTGAGAATATCCCTGCTGTGGCAAGGACGTTGCCTTGTAACATTCTCAGAACGTACCCAGACGGTCACAAGTGGTTTTTAAAAAACACAGTGGTTCCCAAATTCAGTGTTAAAGACTCATCCAGGCCATGCTCGCATATATATTCAATAACTCAGTATGAATATAAAACACAAAAGGTCAATACAGTTTCAAATCAGACTGTGACAGTACTGTTCCTCCTTTTAACTTAAAACAAGACAAGGAGAGAGAAAAAGCCCTTCAATGCTCGAGTAATTAGAGAAAAGTAAAATCAAACATTGAAGAAATTACTGCAAATCATTAAATCATAAAATCAACATACATACTTCATCTATAAAATTCAATCTTGACAGATTATGTGCAGAACTGAAATATAGATAATATGATGACAATAATAATATGAACAGAGGCTTCCCACATGTACAGCTTATTATATTGGAACTATATTTGCAGCTGTATCCTGTGACTTGTGATGTGCTGCTGACTAATGTTTAGGCCAGTTTTCCTGCTGTTACAGGGGAACTTGTGGTTGTTATTCATCTTCATTAATATAAAGGGAAGCACAAAATTGAGGTGGCAGGTGAGGATTCAAAGTATAATAGAATATAATGCAGTTAAGCTCTCAGGCCTTCTGTGATGCTTTTAGATATGTTTCTCCTGTAGGTTGCAGAAGCGGTAGCGTAGTAGCGGGCCAAGCACCGATCCTTGAGGCACGCCGTGTGAGACTGGCGCCAAGTCAGAGCAGGTGCCCTTAAGGGTGATGTATTGTTGCCTGTTGGTGAGATGAGATTGAAACCAGGAATACACAGTACCAGTGAGGCCAATGAGTTCGGAGAGGCGAGTGAGAAGAATGGAGTGGGAGAAGAAGAATTAAGATGCTGACATGGCCAGAGTCAGCTGCCATGAGAAGGTCATTTGTGATTTTGATGAGGGCAGTTTCTGTGCTATGATGTGTCCTGAAGCCAGATTGAAATGGCTCGTAGAGGTTGTGATGTAGCATATGATGGTTGAGTTGGGCAGCCACACCTCTTTCCAATAACTTGCATATAAAAGGTAGGTTGGAGTTTGGGCGGTAGTGGTTTGGATCATCTGGGTCCAGGCCAGGTTTTTTGAGTGTCACGCCGCAGTTTTAAAGATGGTGGGGACCACCCCAGAAGACAGCGAGGTGTTGATGATGTTGACCAGTGTGGGACCCAGAGTTGGAAGACATGCCTTGACCAAGGCAGTTGGCATTGGATCCTGTTTGCTGGTCATGGCCTCAGCTTTTGACACTAGCTCAAGAACTTGAGCTGTTTTGAGAAGGGTTAGTTAGTTTTCCCACTGACAAAACATGGTTTGGAGACCAGCGTCGGGTGACAGAGTCCTTGTCAGATCATGTAGTGTGTGACCCCCTCAGTCACGTAGTGTGAACGGCACACTGACTTCTAGACTCCCGTCACGAGACGGCAAGTTGTGTAGTGTGAACGGCACGGCCGTCGGCCGACGCTGATAGTCATGTAGTCTGCACGAGCCTTGAGGTGTTTTCCTGGCAAACATACTAATCCAGAAAACATGTCATCATAGTGTTTGAGGATGTCCTTGTCTTCCAACACCATAGATTTGCTTTACCAGGCCTAACTGAATGCATGTTGTTTTGCCCAGTATTGCTGGAACATGTTGCTGCACTATTTCAAACTCTTATCTTGTGTTTTGTCCTTTAAATACTTTTTCCCAGTGGCTCCGTCTTGTGGCCAAAATATGCAACAAGCTTGCGGGTGGATTTTTGCCAACACATTCTCACTCCCAACTCGTCACTGTCAGGGTTTGAATGAAGTGCAACAGGAAAGAGCCCAAACGCAAGATACTCCGACAGAAGATGAAGTTCAGGGACTTTAATCCAAACAACAGCCATAAACAACACTTACAGGTAGTAGATTAATCCAAAATCCAAAATCCAAAATAGCAGAAAAACACGCAGGACGCTTCACACGTAACACGTCAGAGTGTGAACACTACAATGACCAGACGCAGACTAAAGAGAAACACCAAACATATATACTCCAGAGATCAGGGCTAACGAGGCAGAGAGACAGAACGGGGGACAGAGAGACACTTACAGATGCAAAACACAAGACCATACATTAACTGGAACTCAAAGTGTTTAGTAGACATGCAAGCAGAGGAATTACTGGGGGAACAGACACAAGCAGACAGATCACGAATACACTAACAAGGAACACAGACTGAAGCAAAGATAAAGCAGAACTCAGATTAGACATGGGCAAAACACAGAAGTACACAGACCAGGAGTGAACACTTAAGACATGAACTAAGTTACAGGACTAAGAACTAAGACACCGAACTAGGAACTAAGATACGGGATAAGACAGATACTAAGTAACTTAAAGATGCGGATGAATAATAATAAGGGCTACGCAGAGACTAAAGCAGAATGACCAAAATCAGATTAATTAATGAAACTGGCAGAGAACATAAATTGACATCTAGCAAACTGACAGAACCCCAGCATGATGGTAGAGAAACTAATACATGAGACTGGAAAAGAACTGAGATCAGGAAAATACCAAAACACCACTGAACACCAGCTGACGGATAATAACCAGACAAACAACAACATAGACTACATAACAGATACAGAAGAGACTGAAATAACAAAACTAAGAACTAAACAAGGCAGGCAGGCGGACAGAGTGACAGTTACATATTGACGCTTGGTCAAGGCCCTTCGGCGTCGCCTTTTAATGCCCTGGATACCCCTTTTGTGTCATTTTTTGAGGGTTAGCAACGCTTAGCAACAACAAATATGCAACTTCCGGTAAAGTTTGGAAGTCCAATTTGGAAGATTCCAAGATGGCGCTGAGTATAGCTGCCTCG